GAGTTGTATGAGCCCCCAAAAAATGATGGGGGGGAAAAAAGACCTAAGAGGCTGCAAAGAGGCCAGTGGTTTCCCCAGCCCGTGTTTTAGAGTAGAACTGCCCCAGGGGGTTCCTTGACTGGAATTGCCACAGCCTTCCTTGCCTGGTTCGCTGGCCAGGTTCACACCACCCACCTTGTTAGTTGAGCATCTAGGGACGAACCGCATTAAATAAAAATAGAAACAGTTGGCATGATGTGCTATCATCCGAGTTATTTATCATCCAGCTGCCTGCCAGCCCCAATATGGGAAACAGAAGGATTTCTCCCAAGTTGTCTCCCCCAAATATATACCAAACTTAGCTGCTTGCAAATGACTATACACTTGGAGATCAGGAGTAGCCATCTAGAGCAAGCAGACAGCAGTTTATCCCACAAGTAGGGCCCACTCCCTTCTGATAAGGATAGTAGTTGTCTGTTTCCTTGTAGGAGACACCAGAGGTCAAACCCGCCCAAAGATGACCAAGGTTAGGCTGCCATCATGAATCTAGGGTCCGCCCATCTTGTCACATGTATACCCCTAGATTTTCCCATTCCTATGGGCACACCCCTAGTTCACTCCCTTCCTGTTACGCTTATGCCTATCACAGATCCTCTTCCTACAATGTGTATGCCGATTGTACTGCCCCTTCCTGTGATGTGTGGTTACCTGTAATCATGTCCCCTTAATGAGATATAACCCTTGGTTAGCAATAAAAGTTGAAACTCTCCGGCTCTCATGGCCGGGCTCCCCCCCACGAGGACCACCAACCGGGGCTGAGGTGAGCCTGCTACCACGAATTGTGTGACTCCATTATTCCAATCTCTCCTCGACCTCTCATGCTATGACTTTACTATAATCTTTATTATCGCTGTACGATTGCGCCTACCGTACCTGCGATGATTTGTTGGGGACTCTCTTCTCCCCACACAGTGACGTCTCCCAAGGTCTCAAACTCTGGGGTTCTACAAAACCAGCATTGGATAACAACCAGCTGTATGGCCTTCTTGGAATATGCTTGGATTTTCTGTGAGCACTGCCTTCATCTTCCAAATGACTGTTATCTCTTTGAAAACCCTGTTAAGTGTGAACCAGCTAACATTCGGAGTGCCCACCTAGGCAACCCTTACACAGCAACACATGCTCAGCACACTTGAGCTCCCCCCTCACAGGGTGGTGCTCTGGTCTGCAAGCTCTCTGCCCATTGGTTGCTGTGGTAGTTACATAATCTCCTGTCAACTTGAGGTTATTAAGAGCGAAGGGGTGGAGTCTAGCCTATCAATCAGGTCACTGTCTATTGATGCCTCCTTTTAGAGGTGGCCTTCTCACGAGGATTCTGGGAACTTCCTCTTTCTCCCAGGAGGGCCAAACTCTGCCTTTGCCTTCCTATTGACAAGTCACTTCAATCCACGCTGATGGCAGCCAGAACCCTGCCCATGGATCTACAAGACTGCATCCACTGCCCTGTGACCTTCCTGCATTCGGCATCATTGTGAACGGCTATGTGAATCTGAAGAGGAATTTATGGACTAGTATCAGACATATGGGCTAATAACGGACTTATGAACTTGATCTGGACTGGGCTGTGTTTTCACAATGATTAAAGCTCTTACACACATGAATGTCTCTGGATTTCTCTAGTCAACCCAGTCTAACACAGTTGCCTATCCCCTCCCTGCACCTGAACTCCAAAGAAAACATAAACAAATATTACTACTTCTCTCAAAGGTCTTGAAGTAAAAATTCAGTCACTTCATTAATCTTCAAGAAAACTCAGAATTTGAACCCTTAGATGAAATAAGACCCAAAGGGGCAGTTCTACTGGCCTGTAGGGTCACTGAATCTGAATTCGAGAGCAGTGGAGATGAAACAGCCAAGTATCAGAATCAAAACTGAGAAAGAGAATCTTCAAAAGACCTTTTTTAAAAAGGCAAACAGGCAGAGTATCAAAACCCTAGCTGCTCTGCTCCCGCACAGGGCAGGACACTGATGACTACATCACAGTGATGGGGCAGGGTGGATTTACAGGACGCTTCTGCTCCTGGGTGCTCCACGGCGGAAACAGAGGACACATCTGGCATTCATGCCCTTTTCTTTCATTTCTGCCCCTTTCCACCCTCCCCCAACTCCCCCTCCCCCTCCAGTGGAGGACAGAGCTCCTAGACTCCCAAGCTGACGAAATCACCATTGGACCAGACACACCGTGCCTCCCCCAACCCAAGGCAGGACTAGAAGCGAAATCAGACAAACCATGGGGCTTTTAAAAAATTATTTAATTTAGTAGTTTTCTTGGAAAAAAATCAATAAGGCAAAAAAACCAAAAAAATATAGTTTTGTTTTGCTTTCGTGTGACTTTATTCCACCTGAAGGACTCGAAGCTTCTTCCATTAGCAGAATCTGATTAGGGAGGGATCAAGCTGGAGGTGTAGTGCAGATGGTGGAGGAAGAAGTAGGATAAAGCGGGGAAGTTCACCGTGAAGTTGGCCAGTTCCCAGTCTAAAGCCCGTGGTGAAGCCTCCCTGAAGGCCATGGCTCCACCCGTCACTTGTGTTGGAGACAGGGTTCTCTAGAGGACGTTTCCCCAGAACTTGCTCCCTGCCTAGATTTCTCACAGCCATGGAGGGAAGTGGGTGAGAAAAGATTGAGAAGTAAAGGTCCCAACAGAGACCTCCTCTCCCAGGGAGGGATGGCTTCCTCTGGAATGATAGCCCCATCCATCCACCCATCCAGGACTGAGGCTCAGAAGTGAAGGGACAAGAACAACAACACACTAACAAGGACACACAAGGAAGGCACCTCAATTCGTGATCCTCAATCAAGGGTAGGTGGCACAGGGGTTCCATTTTTTAAAAAAGACAACAGAAAAAGAACACACAAGAGAAACTCAGGACCTGCCAGGAGGCGGTCTACTCTTCCGCCCCACAGGTGGTGCTTGAGCCCTGCAATCTGGAAGGTTCCCTGGGGATTTCTCCAGGGGCTTCGATGCTGACAGAGGCAGGTTCAACCGGAGATTACCCTGCTGACCTTCCACCGCGCTTTTCCCAACAAAAGGAAGGAGAGGAACAGGGCAGAGGTAAGGATCTGGAGCTGAGTTTGGGCAGCAATGAACCTCTCATGATATAGAGCAGACAAATGTCCCTGCTGTCACTGCCCAGGTTTGCCTCTATCCCCAGAGGAGGGAGGGCAGAGGCACGTCAATCTATGTCACCGTGTGCCCAACACAGAGTCCCAGGGAGCCAAGTGATACCGCCCCCCTTCACCCCCCCAAAAAAAAACTCTTCATGGGAGGGAGGAACACCAAACAACAAAATTAGATTTTTCTCTACATATATATAATATACAGATATTGAACACATTATTCCAGAGGCGGCTCCAGTCCACAGGGCTTGAGAGATGGTGACAACTTCTTATTCCAGATTAGCGCCATCTCTCAAATTCTGGAGTCTGTCAGAATGGGACAGGCAATGTTTTATTCCACCTGGGCGCACGTACCCGCACTGGGAGTGTGCCAGGAGAAAGGAGAAAAGCTGGGATGACGGTGAAGGATGGGGCTGAGGCGGGACTGGGAAAGCAGAAGTGGCTAGCGGTGGCTAGCAGTCTTCACCCTTCATTCGCATGTCTGTCTGAAGAAGTCCACAGAACCCTGTCATGAGGCTGTTCCAGCCCTCCTGCTGCCACTCACGTGGCCTCTGGCCGATGGCACAGGAGGGCACCAGGAGGAAGGTGTTTTAGGCAAGTAGAAACGCCCAAGAACGTGACTCTGAATTTTCCGAGCCCATTGGAACATCCCTCTCGCAGGTATTCCAATGTGGCAGTTATCTACACCTGCTACACCAGCCCCGTTTGTGACATGTCGCCTAAGCTCACCCACAACCATCCTTGTCTTGTGTTTCTATTTAAAGGAATTTTAAAATCAGTTTTTGCTCTGAACAGCACCAAAACACACCGGAATCACACCCAATCTTCCATCAACCTTGGGCTGAACAGGGTACTACAGGGGGAAGGTGGGAGGCGTCATCTTAACTGGGGGCAGAGGGAGAAGGATCAGGCCACGATCCTTGACTCTGCAGATGTGAGGCAAGCCGAATTGAACGGCCAGCCACTAAGCCTCACCCTTACACACATCAGTTCTCTAGCATGTCGATTTCAGTTTCCATCAGCTAAGGCAACCAGCCAATCACCACCACTGGCATCTGCTTCTGGTGATTGATTTGGAAAAAAAAAAAAAAGATTGGTTAAGACAGAAAACCTGGAGGAAAAGCACTCGGTGAGAGTCCCAAGCGCCAGCTTTCCTGCACATCCTGTCCTCTTCTCCTTTGGGTCCTCCTCCGACTGGCTTCTGCCACCTCAGAAAATGTCCGGACATGTGTTCCAGTCCTGTTTTTCTTTACACTCCCAGTACCCTCCCCGATAAATATGGGTTAACTCCTTGGTAACTGGATCCTTCTTCCGCTCAAACCATAGTGCCTTATAGGGATCATAGGGCGTGCCTAGAGGAGAGAGGGCGAAGGAGAATGGAATTAGGGCTGAAAAGAACCTGGCAAGCTCCCGCCGCAGGACACGGGGTAGAGGGCAGGGCCGTTACCATCCTCTGTGGCTTTCACAGCTTCGGCTTCCCGCTTCTTCCTGGAAAGTCTCTGCTTCTCCTCCAGGCGCTGCTTCTCGGCGTTTGCTTCATCCCAGCGCCCGTTTTCCATCAGTCTCTGGTCAGGCCGTAACCGGCTGTCTGTGGGGGCAGTGCCCCCTTCAAAGGCATTGAGAGTTAGAGCCAGCTCTGAGAAGTAGTACATGTTTTCGGCATTCTTCCTACAAGTGGAGGAGGAGACAGAGAACAGGTAATGCCGAAGCCCAGGCCCCAGGCAAGGACCAAGAGTCATCACACTGCCAGATGCCTTCCTCTCCACAGGCAGACGGAAAGTACTGAGAAGCATGGCAGGTGCTTGGAACTCAGTATGTACCCCAGCCCCAGCATCTCTCCATCACATCGTTTTCTGAACTTACGGCACTCGGCTGCAGTGATCTCCATTCCGTAGGAAGGAGACATTCTGCTGGCTAAACGAACATTCCTAACCCTGCTTTCTTTCCCTTTTAGCTTCTTTCTGGCATAATCTTGGCTATCACTACAAAAAAATTAGTTTAGATCAGTTTCTCAAAGTGAGCAATACCGCCCTGCTGCCCCCACTGGGCAACAGCAGATGCCTACACTGTATGGTGAATTATGGGCTATGGTACAAAGTGTTTAATTGCCAGGGAGGTGCTGAGTAATTCTTTTACTGGAAAGAGGGCAGTAAGTCAAGTAAGTCTGTGAGCCCCTGGTTTATGTAGGTAGTAACAGGCATCAAACGGCCTCAGAGTTAAGCTGTTCCCAGAGTCCTTCATGCTGCCACTGTCTTGCACCTGAGCCTCTGAGGTAAGCTGCTACAGGGCAGGCACCTTTCTCTTCCAGCTGCTTCTGCAGAGCTTTGCTCCAAACTAAGGCCCTGTAGAAAGCACCAAGTCATTTCCTGGCAGACAGGACCTGATTGCCTTGAGATTTTCTGAGACAAGGTGTGGCAAGGCTAAAACGATGCAGCAATGGCATCTGGCTCTGATCATTTCTCCAGAGGCGCCAGTGACCTCGGCTCAACGCCTCAGAATTCAAGTGGGTAGACAGGGTCACCTGCCAGCAGCACAGGGCGAGGTCAGACCATGTCTGGGCAGCACACAGGCTGGTACTCACGGTAAAGGGTTCCTTTTCCACAACATGGCCCGGCTCTCCTCTGCTTCGTGGCCTCTCTGACGAGCATCACCCCCATTTTCTCCAGGGACAGGCTGGACTTTGAAACAATCCATCTTCTCATCCCATGTCCCCAAAAGGGCAAAGTGGACTTTTCCTGATGGATCTGTCACTTCCCCTGTCACCTACACGGATAGGAGAACAAGCTTTGGGGGGAAGCACCCACGGTGGGGCTAGCTTCCCTGACTAATCCAGAAGCCAAGTCCTAGGGCAAGCACTGGGCAAATCTAGTTAAAGACACAAGGGGCCATCCAAATCAGTGCACTGATGTCTTGTACTGCTTGACCTGACAACGGCAGGAGTTGGAGGTTTCATTTTCATCTTCTCATTCCGGAGTCTGTCTTGTAATAATCCACACAGACGTGTCTGAGTGGAGCTCAGAAGGGCAGTGTCTTGCTCTCTCCGGATCTGTTTCACGTCCCCAGAAACTCAGGGCACAACTGCACTGCAGGGGTGGGGGTGTCATAAGACACACAACTCTCCTTCATACTTCCCTGGGGTCAATCTGCCCCTGGTTTCTTCCTGCAAGCAATCCTTGTATGACCTCTTTCCTCTGCATTACCCAGTCTCTCTCTTTCCTGGTTTGTACTCGTCACTGCTTCACGCGTCATCTTCACCAGACAGAGGCGGCTTTGGATTAATGAGGCAACTAATATTTCCTCCTTACAATTGACTTTCTCCTTCACCTCCACTTTCTGACCACCATGTTAAGGATACTGATCCATTCATCCACATCCATTTATATCTTCTAGCCAGCTCCACGGGAGTAGGCTTTCTAAGGAATACAAATTAACGTGTGTGTGTGTGTGTGTACACATGTGTGTGTGTGTACACATATGTGTGTGTGTGTACACATATACGTGTGTGTGCCGGGGAGAATTTTAATTTTATTTTTTAAACTCCAACTTCTCTTACCTTTCTTGCTATATCCCGAGAGAAGTAGCTATAGGGAACAAACTTAAGATTGCACTTGTCTCCTGTCTTGTGATTCACAATATCAATTTCACCTGACTGAAAAGGGAAAAGAAGTGTGTTATTAAGGATTAGATCGAGTAACCCTTATGCCACACACCCCATGCCCCAGCCTTTTTTACTCCACCTGACATGCCAATACTCCCTTGCCTTAGGATTCAGGTCTCAAACAACCTTGGAAAGGGGAGGCAATTCCTCTGTAATCTTTGTATATTCTGGGTGGAATCAAGAACAAATGACCCTTTAGTTTTGTTTTTAATTGTGTGTCATTTTAGGTGTGACCCTCAGCTAGGGCTTCAGACTGGTTCACCCCCGATGAGAATGTGCCTCTCTACCCCAGTTATACGGAATCACAATCTAGCTACAATTAAAAAGGTCTCCAGGTGATTCTTACAAAGATTCTGATTTAGGCAATCCAGGATAGAAAGGCACATTTTCAGCAGGGGGGTTGAGCTGGAATGAACCAGTTGAATGCCCTGCCTTAGCAACAGCACGGGGTTCAAAAACTGGAAAAATTTCATTCTTGTTCAATTCTATTTTTCTATGGATGTTTTGAAGCCCCCTCATATACTGAAATTCACTAAATAATTTACCTCTCTAAGCCAGCCCCCTGCTAGCACCCTTAATAACTTTATGGTTAACCAAAGCATTCTGCTCACTATTTCACCATCCACATGAGCCTTTCCACACCATTCCTTTCTCCTGTCATGCAAATCCCAACCCACCATGGAGACTCAGCTCCGCTCCCACATCTACTGTGGCACTTTGCCTGACTCCTCAGAAAAGTTCCCTCACTTCTCTGAATTTACTGCAAACATTGTCTTTAGGAGGAGCCTGGTGATATAGTGGTTACATGTTGGTTGCTAACCGCAAGGTCAACAGTTCAAAACCACCAACTGCTCAGCAAGAGAAAGAGGCTTTCTACTACTGTAAACAGTTATAGTCTCGGAAATCCATAAGAACAGTTCTACCTTGTCCTACAACTGAGGAGAATGCAGGTCAAGGCAGTGTTTCATTCTGCTGTTATACACCACGACTGCCAACCCTATCCTATAAGGCCACTATGGATCAAAATTGATCTGATGGCAATTTTGTTTACTGTCTTAAGGGAAAACCCATCTTATCTTAGATCATCTCCTACTAGCCTGGCAATAAATGCCTGCTAAGTGCCAAAAGGAGGAAGCATGGCAATTGGGTTTATTACTATCCTATGTCTCCACTGGAGCGAATAAAGAATGCGGCACCAGGACTGGAGGAAGGTTTATTAACAACCTGCAATATGCAGATGACATAACTTGGCTTGCTGAAATTGAGAAGGATTGAAAAGCCAAAAAGCACTGAAAAGCAAAGATGTTGTTTTAAGGACTAATGTGCACATGACACAAGCCATGGCATTTTCAATTGCCTCATATGCTTGTGAAAGTTGGGATACCGAAGAAGGAAGATCAAAGAAGAATTGAATTATTTGAAATGTGCTGGAGAAGAGTGTTGAAAGTACCATGGACAAAAGGATCTGTCTTGGAAGAAGTATGGCCAGAGTGCTTCTTAGGGGCAAGGATGACAAGACTTGTCTTACATATTTTGGACATGCTGTCAGAGAGACCAGTTTCTAGAAAAGGCCATTACGTTTGGTAAAGTAGAGAGAAAGTGAAAAAGAGGACAGTCCTCAAGGAGACGGACTGTTCTAGGCTCACACACAGCAACAATTGTGAGGCTGGCACAGGACAGGGCAGTGTTGCCTTCTGCTGTGCATAACGTCGCCATGGGTCGGAACTGACTGGATGGCACCTAACAACGCCACATTCTCCACAGTGCCCAACACTGTCAGACAGGAATTGAAGGGATGTTCTAATTTGGTTATTTATAAATAGTACTGAGGGGCTTCCCAAAGTTCGTGGGGGGGGGGGGGGAATGAATGAAAAAGGTAATGAAAAACATCCATGAGTAAGACACGAAATAACAATAATATAAAATTAATAGAGCATTCATGAGACTGGGAGGGTGGGGGAGGGAGGATGAAAAAGAGAAGCTGATACCAAAGGCTCAAGTAGAACAAAAATGTTTTGGAAATGTTGGCGGCAACATATGTACAAGTGTGCTTAATACAATGGAATGATAAGATTTGTAAGAGCCCCGCATTAAAATGATCAAGAAAAAGAAAGAAAAATGTCCATGAACTTTGTGAAGCCTCCTCATGGGTCATTACTGTGAAACTGGGAAGGTGGGTGGGTGATGGAGGGGGAGGAATGGTACTTGGGAGAAATTGCTCAGAAGAACCTTGTGAACCAGCAGCACCCTGGGGCTCAGTTCACAGCTCCTAAGTACAGGGAGTTGCCATGTTATGAATGTCCCACTTACCCTTTAATGGCACGTACATAACTCTGCCCTCACTTTGAAATCAGTAATACCAGGCCCCACTTGCAACAAATTCATCACAATCACATTCGCTTGCTGTGTGTGCAGCTTTTACGTCATGGGAAAGGCTCCAAGCTTTTTCTTGCACTGGAGTCAGCTAAGGAAGAACCTAAATAAGAACCGTATGCATCTGTCCCAACTTCCCCACCAACGAACTGCCACTGAGTGGATTCTGACTCGGAGCCACCCAGGAGGGCAGACTCGAACTGTCCCCGGGGGTTTCCAAGACTGTAACTTTTTGTTCTCTCTCAAGACCACTGCCTCAAGACGACTGCCTGTATATACACATCTAAGGAGGGAGGTATTCCTTTAAACCACAAATGCTGTGGGTCCCCTTACTCACTTGATCTATCCACAACTTGCCAACAATAATGTTATGGACTGTGGTAGTAACTTTTTTCCAAGTGTAGTGATGCCCAGTTGCATGGAAAATACAGTGAATGGTACCTGGAAGCAGAAAATACAAAGATTAAAAGCAAATACTAGGAAAAATAACATTATGCCAACTAGAAATAATGAGAGGTTGATTTATTTCTCTTAGTGAGCAAGAGAAAACATATTAAAAAGCATTAATAAACTACTGAATGTTGGAGCCATTGAACCCATGTTTTTTCATTGTGCAGTGCTAGACATGGTCTTTGTGACTCCCACCAAAGGACTGAGGGTCTGGGTAAGGGAAGGTGGGGCTAACACTGACAGGACTCCCTAGTGAGCTGACTGTGATTGCCATCACGCAGGGTCTTATACAACGAGCCATCTCAGAAGCAGGAAGGGGGAAGTCTCACTACTGAGGAGATAGAAGAGCCAGGAGCAGAGTATCCTTTGGCCCCCCCCACATCCCTGAGCACGGAATCTCCTGGGTTCAACAGACAGCTGTGACACCAGACAAGTGGCAGCAACAGAACCAAGAGCCAGAGCATGAGACAGGGCAGTGGACTTGGTAGTCCCCAAGCAAGTAAAGGCAAGCAGACTGGTGAGTGGAGTGTTTTCAGGCACTTAACTGGGGAAGCAGGGGGTAGGGGTAGGCTTGCTATCCCCCAGAGGCAGTACGTTGGGCTGAGGCTTATGGTGTGAGTGGCATGCCATTGGGTATTTCTTGGCAGCCCTGAAAGAGATTTGGAACATTGCACAAGCAGGGCAGAGTCCAATGGGCTGCATGACTGACGGAGAGGCCAAAGATCAGGAAGCCCGGCATGCAGTCTGAATAACTAACTGTACCGGTGCATTTGTAATCTGTGAACTTCCTTAGTATACCCATAATCCCGAGTATTGTCTGTCAGTTCCAAACAGCCACTGCAATGAGTTATTGGTCCCAGCTGAGAAGCAGAGTGCTGGGGGCAGACTGTGTCAATAGTGACAGGGCTGGAGGATGGAAGCAGGTGTGGTCTCCGGCGATGCTGATGTGCCCTTTGAGTTTCTGCCCTCCGTGCACAGCTGGAGGCCCTCAGACCTCACACTCACATCACTTCTTTGACACATCTTGACTTTGGAATCTATACATGAAATCTAACAAATGACGATAACCCCTGACACGTCTTAACGAGTATGCTATATTCTGCAGAAGTAGACATTTTGAAAAGGAAACGACTGATGATTTTGCCATCTGTGCCTAAAATACTGCAAAATCACAGCAACAGGTCAAATCTGCCATCTCCACCCCCACCCCCACCCCCCAGCACATGCATACATTAGAGAAGGAGCCCAAACAGGCCTGAGGTGAGGGAGGGGGGAGGCCCAGTTGTTAGTGACTAGCTGTGTGAACTTACGCAAACCACGAAAGCTGGGGCCTTTATAGTAAAAAGGTACAGGGCTGGGAGCAGGCTCTGGCATCACAGAGAAGTAGATTCAATCTTGGGTCCACCACTCATTAGATGTGTGGCCTTGAGTGGGTTTCTGGTTTTCCTAGGTCTCAGTTTTACCCCATTAGCGTAGGGTAATCCCAGCTTGTTGCTCAGCGCAAATAAGAAAAGAATGCCATAGTACTTAGCAGACAAAGGCTTCTCCTGTTCCTCGGTTGATCTCACACAAACACCAAAGCATAGGCAATGGTCTGAGCAGAGCGAATTGGGACTTAAAAGTAACAAAATCAATTAACAAGCTACATACATACAAGTTCACAGATTAAATTAATGTTAACAATTGACTGCATAGAGATGTATACAAATATATATATATATACATGTTACCCACACAGTCAATTCTAATAGCAGTATGATTAGGCTTCCTCTGTAGCCACTAATGAAAAGAACATTCGAATTGTGATTAGGCATGTCTTTCTTGTGTCGAAAATTATAGTCGCCTTGGAAGCTGGAGGTGATGGTGAAGATGATGCTGATGAGGATGACCACGGCAACAAAGACTCTAATAAAAATGACAGCAACGCTGGTGAGGGCACCTGCCAACACCAGGCACTACATTACACTCTCCTCATGAATTATGCCATCTCATCCTTGGAACATCTCCCACATATCTGCTCCACCAAGTCCTCCTTCTCCACCACCACCACCACCACAGGTGAAGTCACCGAAAGCCCTTGCCTGAACCCCTGTAACTATCTGCTGTCGCTCTCCCAAATTACACCTTTGTCCTTGGCAGCTCTACTCCAAACGATCTTTCTAAAACAAGTCGTACAAAATTATTAGACTTTATCAAAACCCTGTGATTCCTCCCCACAAGAGATCAACCAAACTCCTCACTCACCAGAGCACACAGGCCCTACAAGATCTGGGCCCTGCCAATCCATGAGATCATCCACCACCTACCTCGCTGCTCACTCTTGAATTGAATTGCTATGGCCCTTTATTATGGGTGGAAGTGTGATCGCAAAATGTGTGTTAAAATGCTCACCTGTGGGTGGAATCTAATCTAATGGACAGCAATCACTCTCTCTTAATGCAGAGTAGCCAATCAATCAGTTGAGCTCAAACGAGCGCAGCGAAGAGCCTAACCCATCCCCCCCCGCCCCCCTCGTTATACAAGAGCAGAGCAGACAAAGACGAAGCTCGGATGGCGGAGAGACTCCTTGAGGCTCACAAAAAACCGAGGAGCACCAGAACTAGAGGCTGAGAAAGAAAACGATCTTCCTCCACAGCTGATGCCCCGAATTTGGACTTGTAGTCCCCTGAGTTGAGAGACACTTTACTCCTTGTAGCTCGCTCTCACTGGGACCCCCACTCCGCCACACTATCTGTTGGTTGCTTAGATTTCTGTTCAAATGTAACCTTCTCAGAGAGGATTTCTTTGGCCACCACACCCTTTCACGCACATGGTTGTTTTTCTTTTTTTCAACAATTACTCTCATTTCTACTTAAACTCTATTTTCTTCACAGGATTGCCACTGCCTCAAATTAAAACTATCAGCTGCACAAGGCCTCTTTAAAGTGTGGAAATAAGTAAATTGCACGTTGAAGAGCAGGGCTGTCCCCTTGAGGACTAAGGTGCACCGTACCCAGGAGTCATGGTATTTTGATCACCTGGGACAATGAGTAGGGAAGACCACAGAAGAATCCGTACAACTGAACCGTGGTGCTGGCAAAGACTCAAAGTACCATGCCAGAGAAGCCAGTCTATCTTGGAAGAAGTGTAGCCAGAATGCTCCTTAGAAACAAAGAAGGTTAAGACTTCATCTCCCAGACTTTTGGACATGTGACTAAGGAGGGCCTAGTCTCTGGAAACGGACATCATGCTTGGTAAAATAGAGGGGAGTGAAGACAATGACATTCCATGACATGGACCGACACGATGGCTGATGAGCTCAAACAACTACACAGGACCAGGCAGTTTTGTGCCCAGGTACACAGGGGCACTATGCAGCGGAGCCAATCTGATGGCACGTAACAATGACAAAAATTACATTTATACTTGCTTTATCTTTTGTTTCTCGGAAGAACCCACACAATAAGAGCTCTGTCTTGCATAGGGTTGAATAGTGTCCTAAAATCCATGCCTACTTGGACCCTGAGAAGAGGATCTTATCGGATAGAACGTCTCAGGGCGTGGACACTGTGAATGGGGACTCCTCTTCCCGGGTTGGATTCTTTGATCTTGACATGCAACTAACTTGTACTCCAATAAGATCTTTAAAAAAAAAAAATCAAGTTTCATCTTATCTGGAAATTAGCCATTACAAAAACTACACCTAGCTCATCCACAAGAGGGAAAGAGAGGGAAGGAAGGACAAAAGGGGGTGAGGTGGGCCTGGAAACGTAACCTTGCAATCACAAGAGGTCCCCATGAACAGAGAGAACCTGACTGCTGGAGCAATGGTGGAAATAAAGACAGCTGTTCAACAAAGCCACACTGAATAAAACACCACAGATGCGTTTTACAATTTAGGTTCTAAGTTGGCATTTACGGAGCCCTAGTAGTGTGGTGGATTCTGGGAAACCACTGGCCAGCTCTATGGAAGAATGAGGCTTTCTGCTCCCATAAAGATGTACAGCTTGGCAACGCCACAGGAGTGCTCCACTGCCCTCGAGAGTTAACTGAGTCACATCAAATCCAGGGCAGTGAGAAGATAGTGCTTAATGATGTGAGATATAGTCCATCCAAATGGCTTTTCTAGCCATCCTTCCCTATGCAATACATTACAATCCGGACTCTGCCTGTGGAGACGATCCCATGTTGGAGGGAGTTCTCCTTTACAGGAGTAAGGTGGGGTTAGTCTTGACTTTAGCAGACGGTGTGAACCAAACCACACCCTGTGCTTCCTCGGAGGCATCTTTCATCTCTACTGAGGGTTTCACTTCACACGCCCATCTTCAGCAAGACAATCACACCTCTACCAAAGGCATTTCCGAGACATCTGGGAAATAGAACTTGCAGGACCCTTTGGAAGAACAAGTCCAAGCTATCTGAAGTGGTGGAGGCTGCTGAGACCAGATGCACCAGAGACCATGGCAGAGGGATTTGGAGGGCAGAACTATGGGATAGAGTAAGAGGAAGGCTGGCTTCCTGGCCCATGTAGGTAAAAGCCAAGGGACTATGTGGTGAGAGACTAAGAACCAGAGAGAGAGCTTGGCTGCTGGCTAAGGAGACCAATGACTGTATCCTTAGACTGAGCCTGACTTGTGGAAACCTATCAACTTCCCTAACTCATGAGCATTGTCTGTGAGCTCTGTGTAGCAACAATTATAGAACCTGGCACAGACACAGAGTGCCATGGGAAAAACGGCGTCAGAATAAATACAAGAAGATGGAGCATGGAGGCATGTCGGATTCCTGCCTCATGGCAATAGGGAAGCCAGAGAAGGTCACACATGTCCACCTCCGTTGCTGTCACCACAGATGCATGGCATATCACTGTAATGACAAAGAATTTACAACTAGATGAGTTCACAATAGCTTCTGATCGCCTTACTCATCTGATAACCAAGAAGTTCTATGACCTCCCCAGAGCCATCGGGCTAGTAAGGCTTAGCCTGAAGCAGGCCTTGGGGATCCTGGCTCCTAGGCCTCCCCCATCATGTCAGCAAACACCAACACTGACAAAGAGGGACACAGTGGAGAGGAATTTGCCTTGGAACTTACCAAGGGGCATAATGGAGAGGTATTTGCCTCGAAACTTGCTGGTGATTTTGATTTCCTGACGCAACGTCCAGCCGTTTTTGGACTCAGCATGGTGGGCAGCAGCAGGGGGATGGTGGCTCACCTGGAAGAAATCAGGGGTTTGAATCAAGAAGGAAAAAGAAGAAGATACTACCTATGAACTGCTGAAAAACACCTAAAACTCACACCTGATGTATTTACACCCCCAACAGGCAGATCTTATGGGAGCAAGTCCTGAAGGAAAGAAGGTCGGCTGGGTGACAGGAGTTCTACAAACATCACATTGAGGAGGGTCAGCCGAAACAGGTGCCCTCTCTTCTCAAAGGAAGGTGTCTGAGTCCCCGGGCCCCTTTACCTGCTCACACAGGGATCGATACCCATTCTCCTCCAAGCGGTCCAGCTCGAAGGTCTCCCCGAGGAGCGGGTTGAATGGCTTGCTGGTACGGAAGACAGTGGTGGAGTAGGAGGACACGGTGAACGCTGCAACGTAGCAGAGCTGTTCCAGAGAGTTCTCACACGCCGCAGCTCGGTCTAACAGCTCGTGGTATTCCAGATCCTCAGTAAGGCGCTGAAGCATGGATAAGGGCTCATTGAAGTTCACCTGGGCAGAGAAGAAAAGAACAGATGGAAAAACTTTACCCCAAACAATTACATAAGAGAGGTTAATTTTAAAAAAAAATCAAGCCGAGAAACAGCAAAATAATCAACCATTAGGCAGAAGAAAGGGTTTTTACTCAGCAGAGCAGCTTAAAGACTTCACCTGCATGCACCTCCTTCTCCCTTGTCAACGGCTTCTGCCAGCTGAGCAGGAGCCAGGCCCTCTGGCACTGACGTCATACACTGTGAGGTGGAGCTGTGCATCCGGGCACCTCAGCCCTTCCTCAGAGTGAAAGGACTTGCCCCACAGGAAACCACTGTCCAACATGTGTCACATGAATGACTATAAGTAAGTAGGCTCTAACATGAGTACACTCAGAAAGGAAATTAGGTACTTAAAATGCTTGCAGGAGGGATGAATGAAGAGTAGCAAATTTTAAGTCTAGGAGTGAAAAGATTACATTTCTAGCTTCTACCCCTGGACTTGATTGTGAAGTTTCCATTCAGGTCCACATTCGGCTGTGATTCTGGTTCCTGCTCTGAGGTCTCTGGGCCTGGAATGGTCATGATGAGGGAAAGGAGGCTGTGAGGGCTTCCACCTCCCCAACTTTAAATCCCATCAGGGAATGAAGCCAAATGCGTGTTTGTTGTGTGAGCTCCTGTCTGTGGAAGCTGTTCACCCAGCCTTCACTCATTCTACTAACATTTACCTGGTCCTTAGGTGTGCCAGCTTCTATGGATAACTCTCAACTAGCTGCTGGTGGTTTCACACTGCTGGCCACATGGAATGCAGCTTAATGCTTAACCACTACACCACCAGGGCTCCAAGGCCCTATGGATAAGCACAGTGTACACAGAGAAGTGAACCACACACCAGGCCTCCTTTAAAAAAAACCTTCTAAGTTGCCTGAAGTTAAGGCCCTGTAATTTTACAAACTTCTACAGAAAAATTTAAGCAATTTTTTAAAGGGAGGGGAACCCAGACGAACTAGTACAGCTTATGTAATCAACAGCCCATCTGATGTCGAGCCTGACTACCACAGGCCCGGGGAGGAAACAAGTTTTCTTTCTATTGACTAGAACTGACCTTTCGAAACACTGTACGGCTCTGGTATTTTCTCTTTTCCTAAAGTTCCACCTTTGGCCTTTTTGTTCAACTTCCTACCCAGAAATTCCTGAGCTAGTTGCCATTGAGCGAGCTGTAACCCAAGACCTGGGTCCTCATGGGGTCAATGGAGCCTGCTGCTGAGCAACACACTACCCTAACATTTACTGTCCCACCCCCACCCATACAATATTAATCTTCTAATTTTCACCACAATGAACTCCAAAAACAAAGTGTAAAGGAAAACAATGACCTGAAACTCCACCAACCCAAGGTAGCCATTGTTAATATTTTAGAGTGTCCATGAATTGATACATTTTAAAAGCTAAATCAGACATTAGAGTCTGCTTTTCTGAGAGAGAAAGAGAGAAGCCAAGAAACAGAGCCTCAGGACCAACGTTGGGATCATTCTCTGGGAAGTAGGGTCTCTCCTGCCTCAACCAAAACACTCTTGTTTGATTCCCTTGAGTGGATTCTGAGAACAGCATAAAGCATCGCCGGGTCCTGGTACCAACCTCACAACTGTTCTTATGTAACTGCACCAAACCCCAAAATCTTCTCTACGAAAGAGCAATGCGTTCATTCATTATGAGAAGGAAAAGGCACATTAAGGGGTGACAGGCTGCTAACACCCTAATCCCCAGGAGTATTTGTACATTACAAGTGACCTCAAGCCTAAGTATCACAGTGATTAATTACACCAACAAATCACTAATTGGCAGAATCTTCAATCACCATCATGTTTCCACCCACTTTCTGGACAACTGAGGGGGTGGGCGGTGTGAGCTAGCCACCGGGGGCCACTAGACACACTGGCAATGCCTCCAGAGAGAGTCAAGTGGTCACCGGGCTGTGGCTATTCTCACACCTCTTCCCCACCCCAAATGGTCGAGAAACCTCTGCTTCTCTACAAGCACCAAGCTTTTCTGACTGCCGTTTCATCGCTCAGAAGCCCAAGAGGCAAGCACATGAATCTGAGTAATTGAAAGAGAAAAGCTGCAGCCAATTAGGTACGCAGCTGATCGGAGAGTGGAGCAGTCACAAAGGACAACCTGGAGACTAGCGAGAGCAGGAAGACATAACCATTGGCAGGCTGGAGGGACAAAGACGAGCCTTGGGATGAGGGCAGTTGGGTGGCTGCCAGGACACAGATTAAGCTAAAACCTGGGGGACAAGGGAGGGGGGAGAGCTGTCGAATGGAAACTAGAGCCACACAGCTGCTCCCAGAGCACTGCCCATGGGGAGACACACCCTCGGGCTTATTTCCACCATGGCCCTCCAGCAGGGCCCAGACAGACAACAGGCCTGAAAGCGGTCTCGAGGGACCAGCTTTCCTGGGATGTGGAGCAGGCAGAGGGAGGACTGGTTCTGTGGGCCAACAGGCATGGCACTTGCACATTCCCGGTGGCAATGTCACCAGGAACAAGCGGTAGGGCAAGACAGAAAAGTGATCTAAACCCAGAAGCAGATTTTGAGCAAGAAATGCATCCCCAGGCTGCGATGACCTGCTCTCCTAGCCTTGTCTCACCTAGTTCCCTTGAGCCACCGCCAGGGGAGCTGGGCTTCCCCTGCAGCCCCCGGTGAACAAATCACCACCTACTTCTCCAGTGTGCAGACTGATGGCCTTATCTGGTTTACAGCACACACTGTTTTCTAACAAAAGCCCCACGTGTTTATGATTTATCTAGAAACCTAGTTGCGCTCCAAGACCCAGTTCCATCCAGGAATGCATGCACACCTTGCCGAACAGCCTATCGGTGCTGGCCACTGGGCTAAGCACTGAGGCTAGAAAGGACACGAAGACAGTCCACCCAGAAACAGCACTGAGAAGGAGCAACTAACTATTATGGTCCATACACCCCAAGAGGCAGGGAGAAGGCCTGCCCGTCACCATGTGCAGAGCCTACTAGCCACTCCCACTATGCATTATTTTACAATAAACAAAACCAAGCCACTGCCTACTTGATTCCAACTCATAATAACTCACAAATAATCGTCCCATAGAGACCCCAAAGCCGTCATCTTCACAGAAGTAGCCTGCTGCATCTTTCTCCCATTGAGCAGCCAAGCTCCAGGGCTCCTTTCTTTTACAACAGAACAGCCAACATGGAACTATGAACTAGACTTTACCACCTGGAATAGAGGGCTTCATTTCTAGTCTCTCCTCCAGCTGGCTGGGTACACATAACGGTGACCTGGCTAACAAGAAGGAAGTAAAGATGGTTTACTCGCCCTTCTTCGTTTCCTCTGGCCCTTCTTTTCGCTCCTTCTTCCTGCTGACTGGAAGGAGACCCTGATGGGCTGAGGCCCATTTGCTTGACAGCAAATACCGTACTTAAGCTTTCGGGGCCAAATGGGCTCCATCAGAACTACTCAACTTTGCCACTGCAGGACCAAAGCAGCCACAAAAACCAAACCCACTACCCTCATTTAATTCTGACTCATGGCGACCCCAGAGAGCAGGGTAGAACTGCCCTGGTGGGTTGTTTCTGAGACTGTAGTTATTTACAGGAGTGGAAAGCCCCACCTGTCTTCTGAGAAGTGGCTGGTGGTTTCAAACTGCTGACACCGTGTGGCTAGCAGCCCAATATGTAGCCACGACACCAGCAGGCCTCCAGTAGCCACAGTCATAGTGAGCTGCACATTGAGTTGCTAACAATGCTAACCACAAGTTCAAGCCCACCAGCTGCTCCGAGAGAGAGCAATGACTTAGACAGCCTCAACTGAAGAGTCTTGAAAATCCACAAAGGCAGTTCTACTCTGTCCTAGTGGAGCACGGTGAGTTGAAATCAACTGAATGATAGTGAGCTTTGTTTGGAGCCTGGTGTTCCAAGAAAAGTCTACTGGCACTAACATCTCAGCTCCATGTAACTTTCCTGTGTCACAAAACATTATCCTTTTGATATTTTTCAACCTTTCCCCGCCCCCCCAACAGTTTTATTGGCACTTATCATAACAATGAATAGTTCAATCATATCGGGGAACTGTACAATCAGCACTCGACCTTTTAAAAAGATAAAATCCACCAGCCTATGCAACCACGAGGTGTCAAAGGGATCAGGTGTAAGGCATCATCAGAACAAAAAATCTTACCATAGTGAATGATGGGGGGAGTGCGGGTGGAGATCCAAAGCCC